CGATCGCACACACACACCCACACACCCACACACCCCCCCGCGCACACACGCACGCACACACACACACACACACGCACATACGCACGCACACGCACACGCACACGCGCACACGCACACACACACACACATACGCACGCACACACCTACACACACACGCACACACACACACACGGACACAAACACATACATATAATTCTGAATTATGTGGGCTTACCTTCAGAGTGTGCTTGCGTCTAGCAGACAGTCTTTTTCTGGACACAGAAACAAATTCATTTTATAGGGCAAATAATAGAAGTAGCTATAAAGTTAGATTTGATTTTTAGTTTTTATTATGTTTAGAAATGTTCTGTAAAATGACCTAAAATGTTTCAAAAATTTAGCAACACATGTTTTTTTTTGTTTTTTGTTTTTTAACATAACAGAAGCTACATGTTACATGTTCTGCTGGCCTCAAAATACAAAGCACAAAAAAAAAAATCACATTTTACTCACTCAGTGGCCATGTTGGGTGTAGGATTTGGACTCTATCTGTTAAAACAAATCAAAGAAAGCTGAATTCAGGTCTATTTCAGGACTGTGTTACAATGACAACATTCTGTCTTGTTCAGCAATCTCCACTTCTTAGTCTCACATGCTTTGCTCATGTTGTTCCTTTGATAATAAACAGCACATTCATTCATAGTTTTTAACCTTTAGGTTGGTAAAGGAAGACTGATCTGTTTCAGGTTTTCTGTTCAACCTTCTGACTGCTACCAGTTTAGGCACTATTTATTTTGGCTCCATTTAAATTTCACTCCTGCTTCATTTTGACTTCTCTTGCACCATCTACTGGTCAGAATCTAAAGTGCAACGACATCAAAAGGCAACTTTTCTTGAAGTTGTACCCTGAGTTAAACAAAAGGGTCCTGACTTTATAATTACATAGTTTGTTCTTGTTTTTGATGCTCAAATTATTACAAAGCAGCTTTAATCTTACAGATTGGGGTTGTGTTTTTTTGTCACAGCAAAATTTGAAAAACTCAGGAAAGTAGAAAGGCAAACTGCCTTTCACGTTTAAATCATGTTATTTCTGTGCTGACAGAACTGCCTATTATTTTTAAGCAAAATGTTTTTATTTTAGGAACGTAGAATAGTCTTTATTTCACCTTTAATTTTAACATGGCCAAGGTCCTAACTGTTGGATATTCAAAACTTTAATCAAAATTCCCCTTAATTTTTTTTGGTATTATATTGCAAATTAATTTCTCATAACGTTGTCATACATTTTCTACTTTTTTATGTGTTTGCTTTGCCATTCTTAAATAAATGTTGTTGATCTTATCTGAATTGTGTCTCTTTTTCCAGCAGAATGAACCTGTCTGTTTTTCATTTAGATTTCCTGGAGGATAATAATTCCAGGTGGTGCTGTTGATCTTTCTTTGCTCAATATTGCAACTTTGCTAGAAACTTTATGACAACTTGCATTGTAATAACATTTAAAGTTGCGTTATAGCATTTGTCCTCTTACAGATTTTGTTTATTTTTGGTTTTGTCATTTTGAAGTGATCAAATAGATTTTTATGTCACCTGACAAAAAAGCTATTTTTAAATGATGATTAATTTCTTATAATCATAGCTTCCAAAACTAACCTGACACTAGATGAAACCATAATTGCCCTCTTTATAAAATAATTAATTAAATGTCTTTCTTGTTTTCCAAAACAATCACTATAATATAACTTGTACGACAGCAAGAGGTGGGCTAAAAAATCTAGAACAGATGAGAAACAAAGTTATGCCAGTTAGTCTAGAAGGGATTTTTGACTCCAGTGTCCACAATGGGAGTCAACAGATGGAACAGAAGAGAATCCTAACAGCAACACCCAGCCAGCACAGAGTTCTCAAGAAGCTCATCTACGTCACACTCAGAAGGCGATAACAGATCCTGAACAGCATCTAAAGTACTGAAGGCCTTACCTGCTGCAGTTGCTGCCAGTGTGTATGATTCAACAATAAAAGACAGACCATTAGAGAGGGGGGCAAAAATAGCATCCACATGATATCCAAAGAGAAAACCACAGCTGACGAAAAAGAACACAAAAGCTTGTCTTACATTGCCCAAAAAACACCTTGATGATCACCAAGACTTTGGGAAAATATTATTTACACAGACAAGAAATAAAACAGGAAGATGCGTGTATTCTGTTATCTCTGGCATAAAACCACCATAGTGACAGTTAGACACGGTGTTCTTTGCTTCTGCCTTGCCATTGTTGACCAGTCTGTTCTGTCCCATTATATCATGAAGGAGAATGCTCCTCCAGTTGACGAGTTCAAGCTTACACTCACTAAGGGTGTTTTCACACCTCATAGTCCGGTAGACTCGGTTCAGTTGGGATCAAAATTGCAACATTTGTTACACTTTCAGGACTGTAGTTCACATCAGCGCTACACTGTGTCGAACGACTAAAACTAATTGAAAAACCTTTTCCCCCTGATGAAAAAACTTACTTTGTGAAAGAAAATCCATGGTCGTGAGTTTAATGAGTGTGATGCCCATCAGTTGAGGGCTTCCATGACCAATCACTACTTGTAACAAATATAAATCAGCCTTTCGTACTTTCCAAGGAAAATCTTCCAATCTGATCGCTATCCCAGTGGATCTCTGATTTTTGAGCAAATTCTTTTGCTTCTTATCGCTCTCTGCCATGTCTCCTCCTCTTCTAAATCCCTTCAGTTTCCAACTCTAATAAAAGCCTCCCAACAGCCGTATGAAACAATATTAGTACACATAGGACCAAAAATGGAAACCATAACTTAGAAAAGACTGAACAGTCTTTAGCGACAATATTATTCATCAGAATGTTCAAGCAGGAATGGAACAATTTTGTGTTTCATATTTTCAGATCAGACTTGCAGAAGAGATAGGAGGACAAGTGATAGGCAACCAGGTCGAACAGGAAGAAAAGGTTTACCCAAAAGAGGTGGTTTCCCAGGCTCTTCTCTTCAGAAGCTTGATATTGTGACAGAGCGAGAGGACAGTGTCTGTTTACCAGCGATTGTTTCACCCACAGGACCGTACAGAGAACAGGATTCTACACGATGGAAGCTGAGAGTGATAAAGACGTCAGGCCAGAAACTCTGCCAGCCAGATAAACTTGTTTACACGCAATATTACAATGGTCTGAGTTAACCATGAGAAAGTGACTGGTCACTTTGACTGTAGTCCTTAACTCCAGGTTGGTAAAAGCGATGGGCAATGAAAAAGAAGAAATTCAATATTTGATCAAAATCCAGAGACTTGAAGTGGGAGTTGAAGGCACAGAGGCAGAGATGTCATCAGCGCAACCAGGGAGCAGGAAGCGGCACAGGCTGTGGTCAGAAAACAAGTCAGATCCATGGTCAAGATGTCAGACATGGAATACTTGAAGGCTGTTAACAGGGTTGGTCTGTGGTGTCAAATCACAGCTCAATCTCCTGCCATAAACAGACAGTATGGGTATGGTATATATGTTCTGAATCCTTAGAGTCTGTTGAGTATTCCAGTTATTATTAACTCTTGTTTCCCAGATACCGCCTAGCTGAGGCGAAAAGTGTGGAAAAATGTGTATTAATTTTGGCTTAACAAGCTCTACTGACCTCTGTGTTGGTCAAGCCAAGAGTGTTCCCTTTAAGACGACACCAAGCATTTATTACAGACCTTTGACAAATGTCCATACCTGGACATACATTACTCTCAAAAACAGAATCTGTCCAAAGGGGTTGTTAACTATGAGCTGACGACTATGGCTAAGCTACTACTTTGGAAGGGCTACCACACCAAAATATTATCGAGATGTTGCTTTTCAAAAATTGTGGTTAAGGTTTGCCACCTGGATATTGACCAAAATGTGAGATTTTGACCTTTTGGTCAGTTGTGGCCACGTCCAGTCTTTGATAACTGCCACTCTGCAACTTTTAGATGGATCCTTGTTCCAATACACCTGAGTAAAAAGGCTGGCTTTCCTCATCAGCAGTAACTGTGCTCTGCAGCCATTCATTTGATCCAGGTGTGTTAGAGAAAAGTTACAGGGTGGTAGCTCTGGAAGACTGGAGCCCCAATCCAGACTGACGACAGGAGCTGATGTAGGCAACAGCAATCAGTATGCAACAGGAGGGCAGGAATGGAGAAGATCACAACACTGTGACTTGTTTTTATTGATTCATTGATATATCTGTCAGATTCCACTGGTCTACAGCTAAAATATTGTCTGGGTTTTTTCAACAGTTTTAGGGTCATTTTTATGTGCTGCATCCAAAAATCACTTTGGTTTTGCTCAATCAGTTCAACTTTCTGAACTATGGAACAACATGAGCATCAAATGCATGACTTGTTCTCATGTCTGGATTGGTTTCCTGAGAATTTGATCAATGAGTGACGAGCAAGAGGAGAGATTCCATCAGGACAGAAAAGAGACTGAGAATTTTACACAATGAAGACGTAATGTTCAATTCACATGTAGTAGTGTTTCACACTTCACACTTAGTAGTGTTTATTATTCAATTTACAGAAATCCAATTTTTTTGCATTTAATTAATACAATTAAAAGTTAGAAAACTTTTTTTTTACCTCCTAAAACTTCTTTTGGATGAAACATATTAACGAAAATGAACTGATAATGTCACAAAAATATCATCAATTTAGTCAGAGGATCAGATTTCTATAAAATTGAAATTAGAATAAAAACCCGATTGAGATTGGATTTTATTTTTGGATTCAGCAGTGCAAAATAATCCTGTTGAAAAAGCATAGACAACTTCCAAAAAATATTTTTGTAACCCAGTGTTATATGTGCATTTACGCTGCTGTCTGTCCTGTGGCTGGATCAATTGTCTTTCTCACACTGTGTGATACTGGATTTATTATTTATTCTAATACTTTTTCCAACTCTGTGTCAAACACTTTATCAAGACATTGTATTTCACTCAAAATATAAAACCTTTCTTATAAAGTCATTGGGTTAAGAAGAAACTAAGACAGTTTCAAATCTCTTGAGGCTGCATAGTTGCTGCCTGAGCTGATTGTAATCCCTAGAAGCTGCAGCAGAGCAGCAGAGCAACATCTATTCCTGGGTCTACAGCTGTTCCCAAAGCTTTCATCAAGTATGAAGAAGAAAAAAAAAAACAGCTCCCCTGAAAAGAAAAGATGTGTGATGACCACAGGCATCTGAAACATTCAACTGGCACAGGAACAAATGTCAGAGCTCCTTGAAGTAGTAACAGGAAGAAAGGAGGCTATGTCTTGCCTACAAGTTTATTTAAAGAAAATCTGTACACAGCAATACCTAATAACAAATGAAAATATATATACATATGGTCCTGCATTTGTGTCCTAAGTGTTTTCTAAAAGAGAAACCTTAACTCTTGAAGGAAAACTGAGGGATTCACAACCATTTAACTTCTTTTTAACAGACTGGGTTCTTTAGACATGGCTTCGTTTAAAGAGACACAACTTCTGTCAACACTGTATCAAACCAGGTGTTCCTCCAAATACTAACCTCCATGGTGCTGACAGGAGGATAAAAACTGTTGGATTGATTTTCAACTCAGAGCCTCGCCGTGGCGTTGGCTTTCAGTGCTCCACATCATCAGACGACACATCACTGTGGCGGCCCAACAGGACACGCATTTAATGCCAACAGAGAAGATCGCCCTGTCTTACCTCAAAAAGCAAAATCCTTTCCAAGTCGGACACAAAATTTCACACTACACCAAAGGCATTCACAAGTGATATCACATAAAACTTCACCTGTTAATTGCAAAGTTTCTACATTGTAAAGATTTTCTGCCTTTAATAAAGAAATGAAAAGCTGCCGCCAGGAAGCTGACAGAGAGAACAAAGCAACATCAAGATGAAGAGCATAGAGAAAAGTTTTTCCTTTACCGAGGCAGAGCTTCTGCAGTCAGACGCAGACTGAGTCCCACGCTGAGAAAGTGTAAAGAAGGTTTATATTGCAATCTCAGAAAGCCCTCTAAATCCTCCACTTTCTCTATATGGTGGTGGATTACTGGACAAGCCAATGAGATGGCAAGGTCATGAAATACAGTACACTGTCAGTTGCCCCTTCCTAGGCTGCCTGCATTATAAATAACCCGCCCTTTAAGATTGTTATCCTTTTTAACTCGTACCATTAAAACTCATTTCATTTCAGCTCTTTTAATTCATTTTTTGCCTACATTCTGACATGCTCGTTACTCATTTTATCTTAAGTAAGAACAAAGCAAAGGTCTACACTTTGCTTTGTTCTTGTCTTATTACTTCCTTGTTGAGATGATTTAATGAAAACTGAAAACATGGTTGTTTCCATAGAGCATTTCTAAACCAATGAGGATAAAAACAAAAGAGTCAGCGGAAAGGAAAGTACATTGTTTTTGTATCTGGAGGAGAAAGACTGAAGTGCTGACAAAGTCCTAGTCAAAGTGAGGTTTTCATAAGTATAAAACAAACTAACAACAGAGGAATTTACTCACAGTGGAGCTGATTAGCAATGAAACATTAAGCACTAGACTAGTGCATACAAAGGAGTGGGTTTAAAAAAGAGAGCATGGGATGGACACTATGATTATAGGAAACATCTAAGTGATAATAAAGACAGTGGAGGGGTAAGGTTTAAGTAAACAGCAGGAATACACAGGAGGGAGATAAAAATGACCAATAACAATACAAGTACAAAGAGGAACAAATTACTTATCACAGGAATCTATGTGAAAGCAAAATGGAAACAAAATTTTATTTAATGAAATTCAAAAATACGTTATCGATCCCATATGGAAATTAAATGCTGTAACTCATTTGATGATAGAGTTACTGTAGATGGTGATGGCTGTGGGTAGGAAAGATCTCCTGTAGCAGTCTGTATTACAACCAATTTGAAGAGGCTGCTGACTAAAGGAAGTCTGTTTTTTTTTTTATAATCTTTTAAAATAATAGTTTTCTTGATTTTATGTAAAATCTTTCTTTGCATCATCATCCCCAGAAGTTTCAAAGTAGTCCCCAAAACAGAACCAGAACAGAACCAGAACAAAACCAAAACAGAACCATAAACAGGACCAGAACAGAACCAGAACAAAACCAAAACAGAACCATAAATAGAACCAAAACAGAATCATAAACAGAACCAGAACAGAACCATCCTTCTTTATCAGGCTGATAATACAAAAACATATCAGCTGTGAAGATCAAAAATCCCATTCAGTTTGACATATCATAGTTTGACCAAGTAGCATAACAGAGGTTACTGCAGCTCTGAGTTACTCACGCTGACATCTTGATTTGCTTTAAATCCCTGAAAGATAAAATAATCATAAAATAAATTTTAATAACTACGCATTGTGTTTATAGAAATCAATTACCACAGACATTTTAATTTTTACCAAAAAAGATGGCTGTGGAAATCCTTCTGACTGTGAGGCCATTTCAGGAAAGCATCAGTTTCCAGGAAGTAATGCTTCCACAGGAAGAGGAAACCTGGTGGAAGCAAAATTCAGGCAGAATTTGCCCGTATGATTTGGAGTAAGAATTCAAGAATCCCTATCATATAAAAGCCTCTCAAACAAACCCACCCACCACCGACCACATTGAGAGATCAACAGCAAGCAGCTGACACATTCTCGGCTGATGGAAATGGCTCTGACAGGGAGGCATGTCTAAAAACAGAGGCAAGACTCAACAGTTAGAGTCCAGACAGAAACAACGTCACAAACTGATGCATCAAGTTCTCTAAAGTTGATATGTTTGTTGATTACAAAAAACTACAGGGCTTTCTCTCATGCAAATGCTTTGGTTTAATTTATTTATTTCATTGCTTGGAATCCTTAATTATTCGTTTTCATCTTTAAAGGACTATTTTTGTAGATGTTACTGCAGTCAAGATAAACGTTGCGTGGGTGTAGCAATAGATTGTTACGACAGCAGTTCTTTGAGTCTTCAAGGGCAGACAGAGAAACTGGAACTCAAGCTTCCCAGAATCCTCTTCTGTCATAATGCAGCACTGAATGTTTTCCATCCATCCATCCATCCATCCATCCGTCCGTCCGTCCGTCCATCCACCCACCCGTCCGTCCGTCCGTCCGTCTGTCT